AAAGCACGTGTGGTTTGTGAAAGGATGATATTTTAGAACATATAGATCGACTCGTTCTGTTACAAGTAGATGCTCTAGTCTACGCTCGCCTTTATGGCGGCGTTTATTAAGATTTACTTAAACTCTGCTAATTGTAGTGTTTTAAATAACTGATGCATGTCTACTGGATATTGACGCTTATTACGTTGTCAAAAGTGTGAAATGACCATGACCTAAATGGTCACATTTTTCATACATTACGATAAAATTTATCAGTTTGTCATGATTGTGACTGATATCTATTTTACGTATGTTGGCTTGCAATATTTGCATATTGAATAACAGAAAATATCACAACAGAATAAGTAAAGTATACCTTTACTCTAAACATAGCAAACTACACCGAAACAAATTGGTTTTAAAGAACCACATATAACTTAGCCATCCAGGGCAGAATACGAGTCAAATGACACCTCGCTCGTAAAAATAGGTCAAGACGTTTAGGCGGTGAGGCGGCATCAAATTATAACTGACCGGACTAATCTATACTATAGTTAAATATTCTTCTCTGAGTCGGTCAAGCATGTTAGCTACTAGGCTAAGTCTTACCGAATTTCAGTGAGGCAGAAAATGTCCCTTAGTGTAGATTTAGTGTTAAATATCAATTCAGGTTTCCGTTAGTGACAAACTTGGGATTTTGGTCTTAGAAACCCACGATAAGTTTGGTAGTTTTAACAGAGTAAAATGTGCAGTAAATATAAATGTGTAAGGGCGATGCGCATACTAATGGCGGCCACATCTGTAACTGGACTTTGACCCGTGTGGATTATAAGTGGAGCGCGATGAGAGCTAGCTAAGCCATGTGCTGACTGCAGAGCCCGCAGTGGCCCGCACTCCATCGTTTGCTGTGAATCATAGCTCAACACAATATCATACGGGAATATAAAATTAATATATTTTTAGATATTTGATCCAAAACTTAATGCTACTTCTAAATAATTAACACAATTAATTGGTAGGCGAACGTAAAGAAATAAAAATGTCGGATGTTCCGCCATTACGAATGGCAAGAGACTGCTCGAGCAGCAGCGCGTGATTCCTTATGAAGCTTCTTATAAAACTACCCCCAACAGTACTTCCGTTCCTAACTTTATATTTATTATCCGTAATCATTTTAAAATAGTTTAAATATCTTGATTTATTTACGTCTTAACTGTTAAAGCGAAGGCAAAACTACGACCTTCTGATTATATTTTAATTGTGGACAATGGCAGATGTATTTATCCAAATGAATAAGATTTAAAAAACCGATTAATGCCTACCGGAAATAGAAAGTCGTTTAATACTTTGGTTTATTCATGTCTGTAGGCGCGAGTTTATATAGATTATAAACAAGTAAACACTCATCCATTATCTACACTTAACTATTATCTCACCCTGTCATTTGTGCATTACTGGTTATAATAGGATACACAGATAGCCATAAACACGGACTATCTACGGCCATCGTTATTATACAGTTGTTAGACGTGACTCAATATCTTTGTTTTACGGAAAGCTTTTCAAAAATTTACTTATCCTTTAAGGACTAATCACTTATGACTGTAGTCTCATAGTAGTTGCATTGTCTGCAGTCTCAGGATGACAAAATAAGCCTTAGGAAGGTTACACAACGATTCGTTTATCGACAGCGAAAAGCTAGTTGTATTTTTTTACCATGCTTAATGTGATCAGGGAACGTGTAATATAATGTATTAACCACAGCCTAGTCTCGCAGTTTGAAGGTTTCCACAATAATAGTACTGACGACCTTCGATTTCTTTAATAATTTTGTTTTATACAAATATCAACAAAGTATTTACACCGACTTCACCAAACAAATCTTCTAAAACACGTCCAATTCATTCGCTAAACGCCAATTAAGTGCGCATGCGTCGTGCATTTTGTTCACTCTTTCGTTCGAAGCAAACGCGTGCAGAGTAGTTGCAATGATTTCACTTTTACGCTATGAGAATTGTTAATGCTTTAATGATTTAGGTGATTTCTACGTGCTTCGGAATGTGTACGCAAAATACGTAATACTACACAATCTTTGTTACTAGCTGTCTCCGTCATCGGGAAATTAAAAAAATATAACTTCATTAGTAGCCTATGTGTTCTTCCAGACTATGTTCTACACCAAATTTCAGCGAGATCTGTGCATCCATCCATCAATACATCAAAACATTCGCATTTATAAAATTAATATGAATAGTACGATTTTGTTATTGCTAATATTGATATGATGACGTATTCACAGCTTTTGCGCATTAAAATTGGTTATTTTGAATTGTTTTTGTTTTGTTGAAGTGTTTAGTGTTTGCTGCGCATATAAGCAAAAGTGAAAATGGCGTTTGTGATATTCTAGAGATTTTATGTTCTTGAATGAAATTGTTCAATGGTAATAAGTCCAATTACCGATAACCTTTACTATTTATCTTTCTCCTCGCAAATTTAGGTGAATATTTGTATATATAGATAGAATGAACTAGCGAGAAACTTTTAAATTATTCTATTTAAAGCGTTGTCGGTTCAGTTTGAATATCATTTGGACATACATACTTTGATTCCTACCATAAAATATATCAATGCGTTGTTGATAAAAAATTAACAATAGTGTGTACAATAGGGTCATACAGTTTCGGGTAAGCGGGGCTCGGTTCTGCGTGGCGCTGGCGAGACCTTGACGCAGGCCATGCTCCGTTTAGCCGCGTTCCACTTAGACCATAGCTCTCTCTTGTTATGCAAACTTGTCGTTATGCATATTATGCTTCGCCCCTACGAAATCGAGATACAGCTTTCTATTAACTGTTGATTATACCAGCTCGTGTCGTGTCATCGAGCGTTTCATCTCGAATTGTTATAATACGTGTTACGTAAAATTATATTGTTAGTCCTGTATCAATTTAATCAACGTTAAATTAAAATGTCATACTATTTTAACATAGCGTATCTAATATTATAAATACGAAAGTTTAGTTTGACGGATGGATGTTTGTTTGAAGGTCTTCGGCACGTTAGAACGGATTTTGGTGAAATTTGGCACACATGTGGAACATAGTCTGGAAGAACACAGATTACATTTTTTTTTATTAATTTCGCGCGGAAGGAGTCGCGGGCGACAGCTAGTGTATCGTAAAATTGTTAATAATAAAATAAATGTCCTGTGACCTATACTCAACAACGCTTCATTCTATGATAGTAAATGGAAGCATTTAGTTAATTGTTCAAGTTATCAGATAAGAATAAAAATGCGACTACTACTTTTTCATTAATTATATTGTTTGCTGACTGGTGTTCTATAACTCTGTTTTAAACTTAACCCTTGCACTGCTAATTTAGTTTATTTGTTTTGTTGCAGGGCCCTCCGCGTTCCTGACACAGAAAGAAGTAGCGAGACGGCAAGGAAAGCCACTGCCCGCACGTGCATACCCGTGCGCACACGAGGAAAAGGAACCGACTAAATTGCAACGTTGAACTTTGTGCTCATTGTGCAGTTTTGTGTTAAGACAATAAAGTGCAATATACTGTTGTGCAATCGTACTTTTGTTGACTGCTCGGACAGTTTTGTTGTTGTGTTTAAACGTGAAATTATCGTACAATTATGGAGCGAGAATCGAACCCAATGGAGGCGCTCTGCCGCTCCGGATGTGGCTTCTACGGAAACCCCTCCACTGACGGCCTCTGCTCAGTCTGCTTTAAGGTAACATATTATATCTCATATTACTCTTAGCCAGCATTGTGAATTCAAAAAAATAGCAAGTCGTGTATTATTCAAGATAGAGATACAAGACAAGTAGACACTGGTTTTTGGGTTTTTGACTAAATATCTCGACTCGTCACATAAGATTTTATAATTATTGGAATTAAGTAATAACTAAATTATTACTACAACCAAGAAAAAAGTGATTAACTTGTTCCGTCTAACTTTGGTCTATGACAAATTGCAGTTTGTTAATTATGTGACTCTTTTAAGATATAAACAGGATGATTGTTTAAGCTGGAATATTTATTTCAGTCCAAATAAGCTAAAATTTAGAGTTACGATATAGTTTCAATGATCGCCTTATTCAGTCGTAGAAAGAACTTTGGAAAGTACTTTAATAATATGCATTATATAGGATGCTAATTTCACAAATATCTAGCTATTAATGGATATTTAAAGCAAAATAATGTTATTATAATAAATTTTAGTAAATTTAAAATAATAATATTGGTTGGTAACCTTCATCTAGGATCATGTATGGTCGTTAAGTTGATTTTTATTTTTTTAAATAAAATGCTCGGGCATTGAATGCGCGATGTGGAAATATTTAATGACTGTCCGAGACACGCTCGGCCTTATTGACCTTCTGTTACTTACATTTGACTTTGAATTGGAGCGATGTGTAAAGATTCTGAGCTTTAGAAACTAACATTAATAATATCTTGTCGTCTATCCTGTAGTTAAAGAAATATATTTTGTTCTGTTGACAAGAAAATCAAGTTAAACTTCCATGTCGTTTCAAATTAACTTAAAGGTTTGGTCGAATATGGGCTTTATAATTGTCGTGCCGTGAAGCTTGTACTATCACGAGGTAAGCAAGTTCTTGTTATTCTTTATAAGATCGTGTAGGAAGTGAGGATTAAGGAACTTCCTGCTATTCAACGCTACGAATGATTAATCGCTACTGACAAAAATGATTTGTTTTTCCTTAATTAATAGTATCAATTATAGGCTTAAAGAGTAGCAAAATATATTTTCTCCTATGTTAATTCCATCTTTGTTGAAATTAATAAAAAAAAAAAATAGGATATGTATTGATTGGTTAACAATAATCGATTGTTTGCGTGGGTTTAAAATATTTAAATGACATTCAAGGAATAATTAAATTATGCAGAGAACGAGTCACGATACAGACTCTATAAAAGTTCCTTTCCATATGTTTTGTTTAAACACTAAATTCATATTAGTTCTCTTGCTAATTATATGATACCTATCTCTACTATTAAATTACGGATTGTCGTAAGACGCAAATTCTAATAATTAAAAGTAGGTACAGGACAACCAAGAAGTTTGCAAAAAAAAAGAGGACGAAGCATATACATTGATGTGAAATGTTGTAGCTTTATATTTTTAATGTCCTTTGGAAGTTTTAATATGTAAGCAAAAAATAGGTAAAGCAAAATATATTACACACATACCTTGTACCATCTCCTTTTAAGTTCCTGGATAAAAGTGTGAACTGAAAACCATCCATCCATGATTTTATGGGACAAATATTGTTAAGTTTTATAATTAAATAAACAATAATAATCATAATTCTGCAAAATAACTCTTTGTAGGATCCTTCGTTTCCAAAATCGGATCTCACATTTTAAACATGTTATTTGATCAAATAAGTGTACTAAAATGCTGCAAGTTCGGGGGTATTAAGGTCGTTGCATAATTTAATTACAAAAGTACACAACATGGAGGTCACTGCCGGAGCCGCGACTCGCGGGAACAATGCCATGACGCTGTGCTCAAACTATTCGCTATACATGACAGATTACTAATTACAACTCAATGTTAAACATAACCTCAAATACTATAAAATGAGATGAGTAATATTAACCACATAAAAGTTAATAACATAATATGACCATGAGATGTAAAAGCGACAATTAAATCTGGAATAAACTAGTATTCTACGTTTGTATTTTTATGTGCTAATTTAAAACAAAAGATAATCTTGTAATAATAAATTTTGATGTTAAATAATTTATCTTTCTATAGACTGCATTTGCGTGTAAAATCAATCGCCATATCAAAATACTATTTATAAATTGATGCTCAAAATCTGGCAAAATAAATTTCTGCGCAATTCAATCGGAGTCAGGATAGTTACACGAGGCAAATGCCCTGTATAATGTCGTGTTTTTCTTGTGCCATTTCAAGTGCTTGCGAACAAAGTGGTCTGCCGCGGAGCCAGTTTTTTGACATCCAACAAATTTCTTACGGAATATTTTTTGCCCGACAAACTAAATGATCGTTCTTACAACAAAAGTCTTTAAAGTTAACTTGTTTATATTATAAAGTTTTGCTGCAAAAACTTCTAACAAAAGGGTACGCTTTAGTGATAGTCGGAATTCATTGGTGTAAGGTAACAACTTACAATGAAGATTTTAATATTTTACCATTATTTCACGTTTCTATATTAGTTTTTTTCGCTATAAGTGAAAAGGTGTCTAAGTTAAAACTGACCATAAAATACTGTACTATGCAGTTGAGACGATCAATATGGAAAGTAATTACTGTTGGAATAATAAATTCAGTCTGCTACTGTCTCGACTGTCGAGTTCACTTTCACAAGAAAAAAAAATGTCTTGGAGTGCAATGTATTCATTAGGCCATTTGCTGTGAAGTGGTGACTACTTATCGACCGGAGAATTGTCATACTTAAATTTTAAAGATAAAGAATACATGTGAAATGTCTAATCGATTGAGATAAATTGTTTCCAGGAGGCATTAAAGAAGAAGCAGCAGCCGCCGGCGAGCACGCCATCACCCGTGGCGACGTCGTTCGTGCCCACGCCCACGCCAGCACCGGTGCCCGCGCCTACGCCCACGCCGCTTGCCGCAGCCGCGCCCACCGTGCCCAGCCTGCCCGTGCAGCCGCAGACACATACAGACGTGAGGCCGTTATACCTTTATTTGTTACAAACCAACAAGTTCCCTCACATACATCGGAAAGGCACCAACAATTTTCAGGGCGACAATTCTGGTCCCTAATGATCGCTTCTAATAGTCGTCTAATAGTTCAGTCAAAATCGACTCAAACAGCAAAATGAGATTATGTATTAGATTTATTGATCATCGAACGAACTTAGACTCTCAGGTTATTGTGCTCGCCCTAGCAAAATGACACACGTGTAAATACCAATATTTTAACTTTATTTGACTGTAATAATAAAATGTGCATGTGTTAAAATTCTAGCTATTTTCGCTTGGATTTATATCCATCATCTGTATATTTTAACACTTTTGTTTTGTAAAATGCTAAAGATTATTTGTTCTGCCATCGTTTTGTAGCATTTTCATTTATATTATATCGTGTTTACGGTTATGGCCGTTATAATTTTTCCACCTAGTTGACACAAACAGCTATAGGCAAGTTATCGAGTTTCATAATTCACCGTACGTCAGCTATACACAGCTACATGAATACGTTTCGTGACTTTACACGTGCAGGTAGCACGTCCCGCGAATTATTGTTGTTTAAGGCACGCCTCGCAATATGCCGTATTTTATTATAAGAACCACAATATGTATATAGAGTAATAAAGCTTATTGAATGACATTGTAAATGACGAATAGACAAGGACATCACCAGCTCATTTTACCTCCCCACTGAGGGGTTCGGAGTCTACTCTAAGTCAGAGGTGTCTTGGTTCTATCTTTAAAAAACCATATTCCTTGTACAGTTGTATGGTGTCCTAAGTAGACAGAATAACTCTGAAAGTTCCATATGTGCGAAATTTAGCCATTTTATAAGGTTACCTGTCGTGGGGAAATAACACAATTTTTCACAAATATTGTCTTTAGTTACTTTATAAATAAATAAAATAAAATATTTTTTTTAGAATATTCTATTCATGGTGTGGGATGTTTGTTTCTTTTGGCATGTGAGATTGTTGAGTGGCAAATTCTTCTTTTTATTGTCTGGACATCTTTTCCGTGTGTCATATATTCGTGGTAGATATGATGAATAGCTTTTTTTAGCTTCATTTTAAATGAAATTTGGATGATTCATTTTGTACAAAAACAGCTACTTTCAATGGCCGCATGGTCAGCGTATTTCGGTTGCCTACTTCTCACAATGGCTGTTGCTTTGCACACGTGGCCTTATAAGTAATCTGAATGGTAAGCTATAGATATGAGTCACTTCTCTGTGTTGCAATATTCGGCTATCTTTAGCACTTTCATGTCAGTTTGTTACATTTGTTATGTTATTCGAGGTGTATTAGCTATAATATTTTGTTCCTTAAATCATGAAACAAATTGATTTTACCTTAAAATGTTTTGTCCTAGTGCATGGAAATAAAAATAGTTTATTCTGTTATAATTAATGAGATAAATTTTAATTAGCTCTTAACCTATGTTTCGTCAATTCTTTTCGTCTATTTAAAACAAATTGATATCTATCCTCTATTCAAAGGAAGTAATATGTTTTTGCAGGTGTTTCCCTAGTGGAAACTCACGATTAGTGATTACAAGAATAAATAAACTTTTAGTTACTGCGAAAAATGTAAGACATAAAAAATGTCGGTTTTTCATTATGAACGAGCTCTGTTGTGTGCAATGTTATTAAGTAATGAGAAATGCAGACAAGTCACGCGAAGCAAAGAATTGTGACGCGCGCAACCGTGTGCCTGAAGTTGTATGAAAAACAACACGCTCAATATTTTGTGCAAATAACTTTGAACTATTATAAACTCTTTGCTCTCGTTTTGACATTTTGACGTTTATTCAAAAAATAAATACATGTCAAGTGGACGTTATTGATATATCGAAGAAAATTTGAAAAAACTACGCATTTTATATAAAATTGTTAACTTTACAATAAAAATCTAAATAAAAAATGAAATATGTAAGTGACCGTTGCAAATCGGTCGAATAACACGGCAAATCCGTTCGTGGACATTATGTGGTAACATTTAATACGTATTTATCGATTTTTTAATTCAATAATTCGGTATCCGAAATATGGTTTAGATTTTCAACGTATTTTGCTTGCAGTCAACATGTCAAAACTGAGAAAATGAAACTTGAATAATGGAAAATGATCCCAGCAAGAAAGAATCTAAAGGGAAGAGGATATTGAAAAAGGCTCTGCGTCGTAATAGTAAATCTAGTAATAACAACTCGGGCGCTGACGATACGAGCGTGTCTCGGTCGAAAAGCTTCCAGAGCAAGCGACGTGGGGTTGAGATCAATGATCCCCTGCCTACCCCTGAAGGGGCCATCGAGAAAGACAAGATAGATGCACTAAGGGCCAGAGCAGAACCCACCCCAGACAAAATACAGAATGACTTCGTCGAACCTCTCAAAGCAAACGATATACGAGATAAGATCAAAAATTCAGCCGTCAAATTCGATAAGAAGGATGACCGTTCGTCATTGAGCAGTGTCAAAAAGAACCTAAAAAGGGTTGGTTGCAAGGTGTCATTTTAAACACGGAAAGGAACAGGACATTTGGAATGTTCTTGTATTCTTTAATTAGTTTGGTTATTGATTTATTTTGGTTTTATTACGTACCTATGTTTGAAATTTATAAATTTCTTTATTTGTATAGGTTATTTTTAATTTGTGTTTATTTTTGTTATTTCTTCTTTGTTTTTGAATGTTTTATTAAGGGATTGTTTGTATTTATTTCAGAAGTTAGAAGAGGAGAGCGGGGCGGGCACGAGCGGCGCGAGCACCGGCGCTTCGGACACTGACGCCGACGACAAGGACCCCAGCAAGGACAAGAAGAAAAAGAATAGGTGCGCCGTTTGCCGCAAGAAGGTTGGACTTACAGGTAACATATTATATTACAATTTTTTTATGTTGAAAGATGCCTAAGTGTAGTTGACACATTCGGCCTCCGAATCTTCTGGCGAGTTCACTTCCATACGAAGAAAACGTAGTGGTATGGAACGTATTACCGTGATCCGCATATTGCATTTATAACAGGGATAGTGAATTATAGTTGCGTTTCTTTTGATAGATAAAAGAAAGAATAGACAGGAACAGACAGGACCTAAAATTATAATTAAACAAGTGATGAAATAAACGTTAGGTATGTCTCGATTATGCAACATGTTAACACTTACTTTTCGTATTTTATAGATGTTAAAAAAACGGTGGCGTCTGTTCTGTAATATTATATGTTGTATATATTTCTTAATGACACGTATAAACTTTATCACGCTGTCCTAATGTGGGCATTAGTCGATCAATTAATATATTTATATTGAGGTAGTGATATCGCGTGCACTTCAAAAGGTTATACATTAAATAACGTTGGGAGCTGCCTACATATGATACAACAGCTATCTATTTGATGCATATTTATAGATTCTGTGAAATCCTTATATAAACATGCACAATCAACATGACATTATCTAAGACATGGCGTACAAAGTCGGTAACATTTAGCTGACTTAAGAAAATCTAAAATTATCTTAAACTTGGTTAACGTAAACGAACGTTGAATTAAACCTATATTTCTTTGTTTAAACACCCCTCACTACATACACTCAGAATTTTATAAACGGCCACTTAAGGTACGCGTCCTATATCCCGCGCCGGACGCACCGCACGCACGGCTCGTAACGGATTTTAGTTTGCTTTGTATGATTTTACATAGCGCTGTATAGAAAGACAAAGCGTATCCGTTAAATGTACGCTTACCTTTATTGTGGATTTGGAATATCTATTGCGTATGCGAGCATAAACTATTTTTGATGAACGAGTATATTTAGGTGTGGGTTAGAATTAGTTAAGTTGCGGGTATGGTTGTCGATTGCATTGACGTCATCAAAGCAAGCGTTATCAATGACACGTGATTGTGTAGCCATGTGTCCGTGGCAGGGTACACGTGGTGGCGGTCAATGAGGTTATACTGGCAACGGTCTTAATATCATCTATTGAAATCTATATATACATCGAAATTGTTACACGTGTTTTAACTAAAGCTCTTTCACTAAACTATTGAGAGTAGAAACATTACAAAAACAGCCGTTCTACTAATTAAACACTATAGCGTTAAAGTGTATACAGGTAAAGTTAAATTAAAGAAGATTATTTTGGTTTTTGCAGGCATTGAAGTTGCGTTTAACACTTTCAATGCCGACGATTTGCCTACCCAGTTCCATTAATTTCGGTATAAAGTATGCGGCATGCGAGAAGATATCGTAGACATTTTGTCTTGTTTTATATTTGAGTTACATATGATTAAATATTTAATAGCCATCGATCTACTTGATTAACCGATTTCAAAAAGTAGGAGATTCTCAATCCGTCCTAGTTCTTTCTGACTATGTTCTCCATATATGCCAAAGTTCAGCCGATTTGGAGTTCCATCCATCCAGCCAAACATTCGTATTTATAATAGGCGTTGTGTTGCGCAGGTTTCGAGTGCCGCTGCGGCGGTCTGTTCTGCGCGGTGCACCGGTACAGTGACAAGCACGATTGCTCCTTTGACTACCGGGAGCTGGGCGCGCAGGAGATCCGCCGCAACAATCCCGTCGTCGTGTCTCAGAAGATACACAAGATTTGAGCCACTCCCACCCACTCCCTTTCCTTCTCCCTTTCCCTCTCCCTGTTCCACTCCCTCTCCCTCTCCCCTCCCCGACACATACACGTTACGACCCATTTACTCTAAATAAAATATAGATCGAGAATGTGTTTCTTTTTGCGTTTCATATTAAACGACTGACGAAATCGGACGCGCCCGGGTTTTATCTTATGTTCTAACAGAGACTATTTTTCTGTGTAGTTTATAGTTTTAGAGATAGACAGAAACGCACACTCGATCTATGTGTTAGATTTGTTTGTGAGAGTTTTGCTTTTGAAGGAGATTGGGCGATTGCTCGACCCGTTATAAAGACCATGAAGCTAATACGTACGAAGTACTCTGCTTGAGATTTCTCAGCCATTTTCTGGTTTTATGATGATTTTTTTATTGGCAATATTATTAAATTACAGAGAATTTAAATAGATAATATTAGTGTTGCATTATGCTATATAGATTAGTCTCAATAAAAGGCCAATATTAGTTATTTTCTTTTGGAAATATCAAGTTTGGTATTGACACATTTCCCCCATGGTCAAGTAAAAGGGTCTATCCGATGCGCCCCATCTCCGTTTATATTATAAAAAAAAATTGTAGATAATGTTCGTTTTGGGTAGGCATTTCTGGTTTAATTTACTTGGAGATAATATTTAGAGTTTGAATATGTCCATTCACCTCCATTGTAAATATTAGATATAATTAATTATAGAAAACAAATCCTATATATTGTAAAAAAATGAAAACTCCAAAAAAAGCTACATTGTTACGATTCCAACGGGGAGCATGCTATGCTTGTACAGTCCTCATAACAATTGTTAGCTGACATGGACCCCACGGCTGCAGCACTCGGACCCCACTCACTCTGCGGGCACATTGAGGAACCTCGAACCTCGAACATGGTGTCCGACCGATACTTCACAAAAACACACAAATCTTACTTTCGGTCTGTACAAATGCATACATTTTATTATACTTTTGTATAGATTTAACATTTAAGTTTGTATTAATTTTATCTAGATATGTCGTAAATTGATAGTTGTTTGCTCTTATACTTTTTTTTTTCTTTAGTAGTTTAACGAGTTATGTCATACAATAAAAATTTAGAAAATCTAATATTATAAATATTAAACCACTTAATAATTTGCGGTGTTTTCAATGTTTATAAATGAATGATCCTTTATAAAGTAAGTTTAATCGAATGTAATAATTGTTAGGTCGGACACTGGTGTAGGCGCGATCCGTTAGCCGACCGTTTGGGGGACGTAAGCACTGTAACTTGGTTTGGGAAGTTATCGCTTTCATGTTTGTCAACATTCAGAGTAAGAATTGTGAAATAGGAGCCGATGAGGTGCCACTAACGATTCCGTTACCTATTCGGAACATTAATTATAAATTTTTATTGGTATTCGTGTAATGCTATTTAGCATTTCTTTGCTACTCACAGATTCCTCGATTTAAAAAATGTAATGAAAATGAAATGTTGAAAAGGCATCGTGTAATTTATAATATATAAACTTGTATATAATTCTTTATTGATAAAATTGTTTGCATAAATTCTCGAACACCAAATCACTGTGTGCTATTTACGTGTTCCGGATGTTATCGCCGATTGGGAATGTCACATTGGGATGATCTATGCATCGATGTCACATGTAAATTGAACAAAAACCTCGATGATTGTACATATTGTTACAAATTTAAAAGAAAAACTTGATTGAAGGCTTTGAAGAAAAAGACATGGTTAATGTTTTATATTAATCGCATATACGTTGTATCGATGTCGATGCGTCGTGCCGTGTCGTACGCGGTGATAGCGCGGCGATTGCGCGGCTAAGCAGCGACGCCGACGATCATCGGTCATCCCTAAGAAATTGATGGGAGAGATCACTTTGGTACCGCCCTCCGTTCCGCTGTGTGAAATTCTATGTAAGCATATGGATAGTTATACGTTTATAAGTAGTCGACACTTTATATTATTACACATTATATAAGTAGGAAAGAATTATTTAGCTTTTTTTTCTTTTTAATCACAATATTATTCAAAATTGTAAGTTTTATTGTAAACTGGTTGGTTTAACGAAGCCGAGGCGTGAGGCGCGAGGCGTGGTCGCAGCGTGCGCAACGTCCGCGCAGGACAGACAAGCTGATCGGTTGGACTTAATTATTTAATGACTTTTGTTGTATATTTTGTTAGGTCATTGATTAATTTTGGTCTTTTTCTTAAATATAATCAGATAAAGATGATGTTGGTAATGAATGATTTTTTTTTCTTCTATCTTGCTGTTTTAATTTAGTTATTCTTCTATTAAAGTCATTAAATTTCCAGGAACATGCGGGTTGTTTTTATTTCGTTTTAACCTATGCCAGATGACCCATATTCATATCAAATCTAACACGTTACAAGGAGGTTTTTGTTGGAAAATAATTTCTCGTGTTAAACGTATCTATTAACAATTGTAACCTCTTTTTACATCACAAGGCAAACGAGCGAACGGCCATTTGAAATCGCTGAAATAGAATAGTGACCGTTGCCCATAGACAAACGCAAATTTCATATGCGTTGCTTACCTTTAATCGATGGAGGAGAGGACGCACAGAAAGAAAATATTTTCCCTTCCACTTCCTATCCTTTCCTTATAAGAACTAAATTAGGCCTCCGGGACGCAATCTGATTGACCATATAATTTAAAAGGTTGACTTACTATTAAAAGGCAATTTAAGTACTTATAAACTTTATTTTTTTTACAATTTTTTATTTTACAAAAATTTACAAAACGTTTTGTAACAGTTAATCGATAAAAACAAATATACTTATGACTAACATTAAAGTTTTTGAAAGTAGTAGACAGAAACGAAAGTCTAAATATTCAGACTAACTTGGATACAAAGGCGATTAGTAATTGGGTAAATTTAGTAATAAAGTGATACGTTAAATACCTGTTTTTAGAAAAAAACTGTACAAATTAGAAATCTCAGCTAATTCCATTCATTTATGTTGATTCTAGATTATCGACTGCTGATCGCTAGGTAAAATAAAAACAATATTTTGTTAGAAAAATTAGACACAAAACATTTTAAGCAAGAAATATTCAAGATAAATGATATTACTCCTCCAAAATAGTAAATATTTTCTGGCAGATATATAAAAGCTTTAAATTATCAACAAAACATTTTAAGAGAGTCAAAACTGACTAGCATTAATGCAATTATTAGCAATGGAACGTCTAGACAAAACAATTTATCATTGTTTAAAATAACTCATTGTACCCTAAAAACCTCTGGTACTAAATATAACAAAAATTATGGTCATAAAATTTCCTTTGCAATCAAAACAATATCTTTTTGTGTACTTGCGATTTAGTAAAAATAATAAAACTTTTTCATTCAGTAAACATAGTTTCGAAGTTCTTTCTTATTCAGAGTAATTTGTCAAATTTAAGACAATTTATTTTGTGTTCTATTTACAATATTGTTTAACCTAAAAATCTTTGCATTACTAACTCACGTACTAAAACAGTCTTTGGATACTAGAAAACTGATTTTGAAACTTGTAGGGACACCGTCTT